AAGAAGCGCAGGAAGTGCCCGGGAACTCGATATTGCCCCAAGCAAATACGTTTCCTCGGGCTGTTTGTTATGTTACATCTTAGCCCGGCGAATGGGTGGCCTTTTAAAACGCCTCGTTGTCACTTTGAGCACTGCAGAATGCTTTTTTTTTCTTTCGAAAGCGGGAAAGACCGATCTTAGGAAGATTTGCATACGCCTTTACGTGATGTTTTTTTTCGTTTCCAAACTGCAAATTGATTTTCTTCGGATCTACTCTGCATGTATGTATGTGCATGCGTGTAACGTATAATACACATAAAATATATAATAAATACATAATAAAATATGTAATATAATATATAATGTATAATACATGAAATTTATTTTTTATATTGTTCATAAATATATTTAAATTTTTAATGAAGTTTTCCTCTAAAAGAAAATAATTGAATAATTTTGAATACATAATTGCAAATTTAGCAATTTTGATTGATATTTCATCTTTTTATTTATAAGAAAAAAAGAAATGAATATCATTAAATTATTATATTTTATTTTCTATCGGACTTATGGATTTAATTTCCAAAGTTCAGTTATGCCTTCCAATGTATATATAATAGCTACCTGTCGTAGGTATACATACAAGAGGGCAGGTTGCAGTTGGATTAAATTTCAAGTCTTTGTGTATTTTATTTTATATTGAGAGTTATTAAGAAGGAATTGATATTTGTTAAAGGCAGGTTAGGTTTCTAAAGATGATCTAAAAATAATTATTCGGTATTGTTCAGATATTCCTTTAAGAAGGAAATAAAAACGTACGTGACTATCCTCGACATTTCAGTATTAGTCTCGGTTTTATAGAATATATATTCAAAAATAAAACTAAAAGTACAAGTGACCATGCCATTCTATTGTATTCCTCGTTTAAAAAGAGACAATTTTTGGCTTTTGTGTAATTAATCGCTCAAAATATAATGCAAAAGATTGTTCATTCAATTCACTTATTTACACATTCATTTTCTTATTGCTGCGTTGTTGTTAAAATTTCAATTGTTAAATAATAGTTTCCAATATTATTTTCCAGGTAGTTTCCATTGTTGAGAAGAAAATTCGAAAAATTTCTCATTTATAAGTAATATTTTTCTGTTTTTTTTGCAAAGATTTACTAGATTTATAGGATAAGAAATGAGCAGAATTTAAAATAACAAAGAGTAGGTGTTCTGGTCATATTCAATGGAAAGAAATAACATGTGTACAAATAATAACATATATAAATTATATAAATTATATAAATAATTATATAAATTATATAAATTATATAAAATATATAAAATCCTGTATATGAAGTTTTTCCCGAACTTTTATGGAGACTTACATGTAAGGCTTTGATCAACTCTAAGTCGACGAGTAGCCGATGAGTATTTAAAAAACACATTTTTCATCCATTCACCATTATACCTGGACACTCTCACGGCTGGACGCGACGAGATCGAAAGATCGAGGTATTGATCGTAAGCGGCTTGGGCCATGGGGCCTTTCCTTTGTCCTCACGATCACCTATTGGCCGTAAATTCACACCTCGACATAATCGACGTGTTCCAACGAACAGCCGATACATTTGGCAACTATTGCGGTTGGTGACACTTATACCCCATAAGCTTGCAGTCTTTCTTTTTTCCCAAAAGATGACTATTCAAAAGTACCTATACGTGCTAATCGCCACATAATCGTGAATGAACACCGAACTATGAATAGTATAAGGATTGTCATATTTCGTCTTATTTTGCATTGTTTGCTACCTATTTTCCTTCATATTGTTAATCTGTTGAAATAACGACCTAAAACAATAATGTTATTATTTTTAATATTAGTAATCGTCATAAATACTGAGACTTACACAGAATAAAACCACAGAATAAAAGGAAGCTCTATTGCATAGAATGTTTAAAAAAAATTGCATTCTGCAAATTTTACATTTGCACAAAACATGGTTGCAAATATCTCTTCTCGTAATAATAATTCACTACGTTATGCGTAAGGGTGTAAAGTATTTTCGAGTCTTCCCCGATTTCCCATTTAAATGCTTATCCCGATGCGAGAAACTTGGCGAACTCTTACGCGCGAAAAAGCCGCTCACTTTCCTTTTGCGGTCTCGCGCGCACACGCACTCACGCACGCACGCGCGCGCGCGCGCGCGTTACACGCATGTTGGCGCAACACATACATACACGGAGGGTTCCATAATATAAGTTCATCGCGGGCGCGCTGATGCGTACGTAATCCCGTGGTGCTTACCGATAGCATCACCAGGGTTTTATTTTCATTATTCATTTGTTCGGCCTCTCTCCCCATAGACGGGCTCGGAAAGCTTACACGTATAACCCCATGTTTCTACGTCGGTTTAATCAGATAAAACCCCGCCAGCGAAAATCGCTCCGCGGCATGCGGCTGTTTTCGGTCGATGCAAAACGCGCGTTTGGATGCACGTCTGTAAGTGCAGTACGGTTTAACGTGTAACGAGGACAGATGTCTGTCAGCGTATGTACAATGTAATATCGTAAGATCCTGTCGTGCAATATTTTAAGTCACTTATGCATGTTAAAGCCGCCGAAAAGGCTCGCAATTAGTTCGCGATAATGTCGTTGCGAATGATGCGTTTTATGAATGAAGCAATACTCTCATTAAAATATAATGTTATCAAAGTTATCTCGCGTGTGTTTGCCACACATCGTAATATCTGTTATTATTAAACGTGCGAAATATGCTTCTCTCTTTCTCTCTCCCTCTTCCTCGTGACTGAAAATTATTCGTTGATTACATTAATTGAATCGGTGTGATATTTGAGCGGTGACTTGAAAGCAACAATATTGTATATCATGCTGTATAACGCGTGCGAAAATTACCTATTTGCAGATGCGTGTTTTTCCGCGTGTATACGTCCGCGGGATTTCATCAAATTCTTTAATTACCAAGTGAAGGATGATGCAGGAAGCGTGAGAAGCGTCGCCGCTGGAAGAGCGGGAGAGGAGAAGCGAGAAGAAATAAGAGGAACGTAATTAAGGGATTAGCTTAGTTAATGCAGTCGCTGGCTTAACGAATCGTAATGTAGAGGGCTGTTATAAAAATATGTTTCGCCGAGCGCTAAGTCAGCTGTGCGCTTGATTAACAAAGTGCGTGCCTCGGGAAATTTTTCTATTATTCGTAAAAAAACGTATATACACGTTCACGCACGCCCCTATAAAAACGCCTTTGAAAAAATTTAACGCGTATACACAATCTAGTGTCTTTAATTAATTGTGATCAAGAACCAAGTACTGCAAGTTTTTAGAATATTTCATTAGCGTATTATACTTTTTGCCCGGTGTCTATTATAATTGAGTATCAAAAATTTATCGCGTTAATTCATCATCTACTCAAGATCCCTCGAGGATATTGACTGTCCTAGGGTATCGATATATATCGTCTTGTTAGGCTAAATACTTGGGGGCAAGTATCTCGACCGTCACCGGGTACGGGCAATATCGCCCACGCTGTTTTTCCAACAAAATGCCAGCGCGAGACATTTTGGGGTTCCTGTATAGGATCTTCTCTTCACGGTCCGAAACACGATATTCCACGACAGGGTCCGCCCACGTGTTTCGCCGTTTGACCGTTAAAATTCGCCTCCGCACGCTCTCGCGATATCTCGTGCTGGTAGGCGGTGTATTATTTTTCCACCGGCTCTCGTCAAATTGGCTCGCATGGAATCTCGAATTACGGATACTCGACACCACCGCGCGAGGAGGGTAGAACCTCTATCGCTCACCCCCTCCTCCTCTCTCTCTTTTCCTCTTGCCGCCAAAACCTCCCCTTCAACCCCTATGCTCGCTCACCGGCATGATGAAAAAATATTCCGCAATGTTCAGCCGCTTTATCTGTACTCGGGATGGGAAGCTTGCGGAGTTCTCGTTGATTCAAATTGATATTTCATGTAAGAGATATGCGATACGCGAATGCGTTTTCATTGTTAATTGGACTAAATTCGAATCAAGTACGATTTTCCAGATAAATTAAACTAAGAATAATGTGTAGGGTGTATAAAGGTGTATAAGGCACATGTATAAATAAAAATGAGATAAAAGTAAAAGATTTTCAGATGAAAATTTTGACATAACGTGAAGAAATTTTACATTGCATTCTTTACAAAATAATGAAAAGTTGCCTCTATTATAATATGATAAGTTGAATCTTCATGGAGTACTTTTATAAAAATACTTTAAAAAAATATGAATGTATTTAATCACAGATAAATTAACTAGAAGTGAAATGGTCTCGGAGGTGGATAAATTTATCGCATTCTAATGCTGTGCTTTTCTGACGGAAAAAAAGCATGTAAAGTTAAAGATGACAATTGCATATTTTGTCGGGCATATCCTCACAGGCAGGGAATTATTGTAATCACGAGCTTCCGTTCTCGACACCACGCAGCATATCTTTCTCCAAGATTTTTTGCGCTCCTCTCTTCTGCATGTTGTGACTCCCCGAGCATCCTTGCCCATGGGGGCCTCTCTTTCTGCTCGGGCGTAACCCAATATAGGCCTCCCATAGGAAGATCATACCTCGATACAATGGCTGATCGCTACATCGCACGCGATCACGGTGCACGTCACGTAAACTGACGATCTTCATAGCACCATTTGCTGGCTCATCGTATAACACGCCAATATATTGCGCCCCTTCCTAGAACGAAGCGCGTAACGTCCTGCACGTCCTTAACGTTTCATCAACGATCGAAGTGTCGTGCATACCAAGATCTGATTGGATCGTTCGCACAATCGTGTTTATTGAGATGTAAATCTCCAAAAATAAATGCAATATAAAAGTGTAGACGAAAAAGGAATTATAAATATAAAAATTTTTTTTAGTAATTTTCCAATAAATTATAACAAGTAACTCTAACGAGCTTACAAAGGATAATTTTCTTTTCATATTTCGCAGCAAGCCCTTAGAAAACTTTTGATCCGGTCATTAATAATTTCTTCTTCAAAGCAAAAGTATCTTTTATTCTATTCTAAAATATAGACAGTGTCTTAGAATAAAGCATAGGGGTTGATTTCGATTCTAAAGACTGCATCGAGAGCTCCTTTCGCTCCATCATTCGAAAGAGGTTCAACCGGAGACTAAACTCTTTGCGGCGGAATCTCGTAGAGCTTCAATTAGTTATGCGTTCTCAAGATGCCACGCACGATAATTCGTGCGTTGAGCTACGCGTTGCCGCGTCGTTACGCGGAAGAGGATCTTGCCGTCATTCAGGGCAAATGAGCCATTGCGTTCTTTGTATCCGCTTTTCTTTTGTGCCAGGCAACGGACGCGCCGCGTGGAACAAAGGTAAAGGGGTTTTTAAAACACGCCGATTCTTACCAACAGAAAAAAAATAATGCAGACGTTTTATTCGACCGCAAGAGTTTTATTATCGAACACTGGGAACGTCCTACTCGAATCTGCAACACTTGGTCTTTCGAATTTACAGAGCGTCGCATGAGTGACTTTCCTCGATGTTTACTACAGTATCTATTTGATTATGTAATAATTTGTTATCTAAAGACATAATTCTGGAAATAATCTTATCATTGGACGCAAAAAATTTAATATCTTACAAATAGTAATTTTTAGATTGTTTTATATACATCAATGTCATCTCCTGACATTTTGCGTTGTATATCATTATATTACATTATATTATTTAAATATTGCGACAAAATTTTTCCAAAAAATTCAGTTAAATATCTATGCTTAAGTCCAATGATTGTTCGTATACTCTTGTGTATTTTTTCTTTTTTCTTATCGTAATTTAGCTTTACTGTTCATTGTTTTCGTGCGTTTCAGATACCGCCAGTATTCGGATCAGATCATTGTTCGATTCGACGACGTTCTTGTACGAGACAGTATTCGCATTTCTTTTCTTAAAGACCCATTGATTTATCGGTCGTTTGAGGAAAAATAAAATCACGACGATGATTAGGGAAACAAGCAGCGAGAGGCATGTCCACAAGATTGGATAAAGAATTGAAGATTCGTACTCGCATTGCAGCTCGTAGTTTGGTATTTCAGCGAGCAGCTTGTCATGATGTTGATCCGGTGCATAGCATCTATTGAACAAATATAACGAATATCTATATTTTCATCGCCAATCATTCTTAATGATTTAATATACTAGAAAATAAAGTTAGACAGTGTTATAATGTCTATATCTAAATATAAAATTTTAATCAAGCTCATTATTTTAACAAAATATTCTTCATTTGATGAAAACAAATTTTAAATCGGAAATCTCGAGACATCTAAAGGCAAGGAGGTGAAGCTTGATGTGACAAACACGAATGCTGTTATCACCCTATTTCGCAACATATTATTCCAGATAGAGATTATTTGTGTGTAATAGATATGAAAAATATTTTAAATAATCCAGATGAAAGCGAGACATAAAGTGTGTGTGTGATAGCACAATAAAAACTTTATGTTTTATTCTACTTTTAATCAATATTATATCAACTGAGAGTAATATCATCTTCTATTTCTTACCTGATATCTCCACTGAGATTTTTGTTCAAATTTAACAAACTGATCCATTCCAATTTGCAGTCGCACCTCCAGGGATTGTTTTCCAGTTCAATGACTGGTGTTCGTTGCACCAATGCACGAAATTCAATATCCAGGCTTTCAAGGCCACAGTCTTTTATCGAGAATCGTTGCAATCGAGGTAGTACAACTCGGAGCTCCGGCAAAAGGCTAAGCTTAATCAATCGTCTGCAACCATTCATTGATAATATCTCCAGACTAGGGAGTTCTACGAAATCATTCAGAGCCAATGACGTCAAGTTCGGCATGTGGTTCAGCTTTAGCTCTCGTAGCTGTGGTAGATACAAATTTGGGAAACTTATTATTTCCGTGCCGGATAAGTCTAGTTCCTGCAAATTCATCGGCAATAGAGGTATCTCGCTAATTGGGTTCCAGGATAGATCGAGAGTTGATAGATGCGTCAAGTTCTTGAAGAAGTCGGACGAGAAGTATGGTGCGGATATATTCTTCAGATCGAGATGCTTTAATTCTCTTAAGGTCCCAAATGCGCTTTTATGTATCCCATCTCCTATAGGATTATGGGATAAAGATAGATATTCGAGGATCTAAAAGAAATTTGATTCATTGCGTTTTGTTAAAATTGTGAAAACGTGTTACAAAATTTCTATAAAAAGTATTCGTAAAAGTAAAATTGTCTTAAAATTAATAATTTTATTATTACCGTTAGATATTGCAGCATGGTTTCATTGACGACAGTGAGTTTGTTGAATGAAAGATCTAATATCTTTAACTTTGGTATCCGATCATTAAGAGCAGTGTCATCGATGTATTCTAATTTATTGTGGCTTACATTTAACATTTGCAAATTATATTCCTCTTTGCACAAGAAAAAGAATCGTTGGAGATGATTCTGAGACAAGTCCAATGTTATAATGTTTCCCAAATAAGTGGAGCAGTCCAGAAAACTGTCAAATTCATTTCCCCTCAAAATGAGATCTGTCATCTCTCGCAGGTTCAATTGCGATTGTATTTTCACAAAGAAATCTTCTTTTTTTAATTTACGGAATGACAGGTCAATCTGTAATCAACAATCTTTTAAGAAATTTTTACTCATTCGCAAAATGGTCTACAACTGTTACTGAAATACGTGTACGATGAAATTTAACGATAAACGGACGTTAATTTCACGTATCTTTGGAAAAAGAAACAGAAAACGTCTGGAATGGAAAAAGAAAAACGTCTATTACGCATAGATTATAAATTATTTAAAATATAAATTTATAGAAACAATTTGAATCACGAACTATCAATCTCTCGCAAGAAATGATAAACGCGACCGGAAGTTGATATTCGCGATATAAACCGGGAATATGTCACCGGGTATTTCGGAAAATTGTAAACTATTAGTCGTCGACAATTGACGACGATTCAATTAGAAAAAAGGAAAATCATCAGTCGGAAAAACCCACCGTTTTTGAAGCCGAGACAAATGAAACGACGATGGTCAAAAACATAAGCGATCCAAACCGCATGATGCCAGATGGTATCTGATTATGATTAGTCGATCTTTTTGGAGCGATCCAATTTCTTGATACGTCCAACTGCAACACCGGGACCACCTAGCTGGACTGTACTTCTCACACCACGATGCGATGGAATGGTAATGAATTCACGACACTCTGCTGAAGATTAATGATTGTCGAGTTAAGAGGGGGGAAAAAAGAGTTAATAATATATTATGATGTTCTCCACACTTCGACCATCGTATTCCTATTATCCGTTTTAGTGATTCGAAAAATCGTGATTTGTCGCTTTATTTTTTTAAAATCTTTCAATGAACCAGTACGATCGGACTGATAAGCAAAAATTGTTACGTCATATTAAAGCGATCACTCTGCTTTGTATCTGTGTATATTCGTATATAAATTAATAATTAATTCCTGCATGTTAATTTAAATAATTTAATTGATAAAAAAATAATTAAAATTATAAAATATTTTATTGCTCGCTACATTTTGCAATTTGATAAAGCTCGAATGCACGATCGTATTAGATACAAAGCCCGCTTCGAAGGCAAATCTTTTTTTACAGACCGATTTCGTGTGTTAAATTTAATTCGCTCTCGGTCAGAAGTTCAAAATCGAGGCTGACGTACCGCTTTCAGATAAATTGGCGATTACAAGGTGATGCCGCATACGTAAATCCACCGATTTGCGACTGGTTGGTGATTGTCTCTCTCTCTCTCTCTCTCTCTTTCTCTCCGCCACACTTAATCGCATATATTTTTTCAATTAAACATCATTGGAACAATATCTCCGAGTTTGCGAAATTTATGATTCGTTAGAATACACGGAGAGACGAGTTAATGTCGCCTCTCGCGATGAGACTTGCGTCCGAATGTCGTTAGCTATATCTGCTTTGAAGATAAAAATATGGGAAAAAGCGATAAACCTCGCTCTATGTCGCACGTCTAATGGTGATAATGTCGCTCATGTTTTGTTCATCTTATTCGATATTATTTATTGAAATTATTTAACAAATTCGGTGGTGCCTCTTGTTTTAAATACATATATTTTTAACATTTTTATAAATATATTGAATTTGTTACATTAAACCAATTTTGCAAATAGAGACAAATAATTATGTATTAAGCAATTTTAAATAATCATAGTTTTGTAAAATTAATACTAGATAAAGAAATAGAATACAAAAAATATGATGTTAATATTTTATCAGTTACGAAAACAATTGAGAATAATTAATATACATTACTTTTGTTTGATATGTCAAATATGAATTTCGAAATATTTTATGGAAAAAATTGGTATTGCGAATATCGACTTGATGAGCAATGAATTGTGTGAAAGTAATATAAACAAAAAGCTCGTTAAAAGTCAGACATTTATTCACAGGGTCATATCTTTTTCGCGCCTGCCACGGATAATTGCAGCTGCATGTACAGACGATATACACATAGTAATAAATATTGCAATATTTCTCGCGCGTATATACAATGATAACAGAGACAAGAGTCATTTACTTTTTCGGGGTTTGCGGAGTACTGGTAGCTTTGAAAACCAGCGGATTTGATACTCGAAAAATGCTGGGCAACATTGTGGCTAATGTTCCGAATACCTCCTCCGACATTCCCTGCAAGCAATAAATAACAACGATATCGCTTTTTTTTAATCTCGACAGATTACTCTTATCGAATCAAACTTACTTTCGGCACGAGAAACTGGAGATTCTTCAGCTCGGCTCCACCCCAAGACGCCATTTCGATCATGAAACCTTTCACGCACTTGAAGACTAATTCGGCTCGCTTCGTGCACCAAGCGACCGTCATATCCTATGTCCATCATATCGATATAGGTCAATTATATTTTTGTTTAATAATTTAAAAATTATTCGCTTGAGTTATCTGAATGATAAATTACCTCTGACATTTCGTGGACGAGTAACACGGGTATTGTCAATGTTGTCACATCGTTACAACACGCCGTCTTCAAAATATTTCTCAATCCCAGAATAGCAGGATGCCTTGAATTGATATCACCTGATAAAATTAAGATTGCGTATCAAATATATAAATCGGATGTAATATGAGAAATTCATGATTGCGAATACAATCATTTACCAGATCGTAAAGAGTCATTCACCACCATGTGAAATACTACGTGAACTTGTGCCAGATTGGAATGTCTCGTGATAAAAACATCTCCTGTTTGCAAACTCTTACTTGTCGTGGATTTTTTTGTCTGTTACGATATATAATTACATATATATGATTATTATATTTAAGTCAAATTTTTAACAATTTCACTTACATGAGGATCATTTCCTTCTCTGTAATGCATCTGTCTCCAGGCAACAGCATCTTTTACGTCTTCCCGAATCTTTTCCAATTGTTCATCGATCGGCGGAAAATGGAATTCTGTCGTTAATTGACATATCGAGCATAATTCTGTAACAACGTAATTTTAATATGGCAAAAATATATATTGCTGAGATCATGAACAATTTTTTAAATCGCTGATATATGATTTATTATATATTGAAAAATACCTTTCGTTATTCCGGAATAACTGCCTAAATGGTTATCACTTAGAAGAACTAATCCGCATAAATCGTTCGAGTATAGTCCTAAAGCTGTTTGCAGTCTTTGTGGTGTTGGATCCATCCTACATTTAACATATTTTCTATTATAATTATTTAAGAGGATGAGAGATAAAGATATAAAAAAAGAAGGAAGGCTCTAGTTTAATATATTCTATATTAAAAGTTTGAACAAAATTATTACAACTTACCCAGATTCACTATTTTTGGTACGACAAAAGTCCAGCACATCTCCGGTTAATATACGTATATTATGCATTTGTTTCATCTGCGATCCCAAATGTATCGTAAAACTTTCTTCTAATAGAGGATAATCGGTCATTTGTTTTTCTTCGCTATGAACGAATTTATCTAAAGCCGGACGTAATGGTGGCAATGGTATCATAGGCGAACCGCTGTTTAAAAAAATATGAAATATATATATATATATATATATTTTTTTTTTACTTTGGTTTGATGTTTTAAATTTTGTTATTGTATTTATTTCAAATTTAAATATGCAAAGAACAACGTACACCGGCGTGGGTATCATACTAGTTTGTTGTTCCTCGAGCATCCTCATGATCCAATTTCGATACTGTCGACGTTGATCTAATCTCAATGCATCGATCCTAGATCCCCAATAACCTTGTAATAAACTCTGTTCTTCGAAATGACGACCTGCCATATCGTTTATTGATTTTTCGGTAGATCCTGCTTCGAGAGCTTCGACGGCAACGCGCATTTCATCGGTTTGTCTGAAATTTATAAAAGATTATTTTCATGAGAAATTAATTTTATCCTTTTTTTCAGTTATCTCTTATTAAAATTGTAAGCTATAAATAATTATTTATTTCTTATTTTCACATTTTTTTTAAAGATATGGCAAATTTTATATAAGAATATACATATAAAAAGAATTGAGAAACATGAAAAGAATAATTTTTACTAACTTTTGTGTGAGATGGTCGTAATCAGTATCTCTCATTTGAATTACTTCAGTAACATCTCGTCCAAATTTATGCTCTGCTTGTAAAATTGGTTCTAAAGATGGAGAATGTACTAATCTATGATATGCCGCAGCAAATAATTCCTCATCTGTAGTTCCAATGGGATCAGAATATTCCACTGTCTTCTGTTTGTATATCTTCTCCCAATTTTTAATTATATCTTCTAAATCCAGAGTGCCTGTTTTGGCAGCTTCGATAAGTTTTTCTGATTTATCATCATAAAACTGCAGCGTAAACTCTTTGATACTATGTTGCAGAGTTTCTAACAAGTCTGATTCTATGTAACATGGTAGCTTGAACGATGACATTATACGATGCATCAATTCTTTTATGGAACCATGATATGGTATTTTTATTGGAATTTCCAATGTGTATTCTTGATTTGTAGTGCATGTCGGAAATTTGTAGATAAATGTCTTTTCAATGTGCTCCTCTTCCGCTTTGTTCATTGTCTTTAATGAGATTATTTACTTTACATATGAATTTTATACATATTTGTAAAAGGAAGATACATAAACGCGAATTGCACATTTTCTAAGTACAGTAAAATAATTATATTAACCAGTTAGTAGCTAATTAAAGTAATGCATGTAATTAACTTTTATCAACATGTAATCATCAGACATTACGAGATTAAAATGGTACATTTATGCCAGGTCAACTTTCACAACATTCGGGTTAAAGGCGAAGATAATTCTTAGTATAAACATAGTAAGTTTGATTATGTGTTTATTGTCTATATTTATCTTTTAACGATAACGACTGATATCTATACGGTTAGACGATAATTAATAAATTTTTAATTGGCTAAAAATTTAAATATAACATAAAAAATATATTTAAATTAAATATATATTATACAATAATATATACTGTGTGAAATAGATTGTAAAACATTAGCAAGAAAAAAATATTTAATATTTTTGCAATTCAAAAATAATGCAATGATTGTGATGATTCGGCTTTTATTTCAACTTTGAAATGCCAAATGTAAATTCTCAATTAATTTAGATAATAAATTTTCTTGAGAAAACATTTGATTAGTCCCTCTTATTGATTCACGAGGGCACTAAATGAGCTACGATAAATGTCACGATTCTAAAGGAATAGTAAATAAATTTGCTCAAGATTAGTGAATTCTATTGCAGTACTCACATTCATTGTTTCATTGATATGTGTCATCCGATCATCTGTATATATTTTGATTGATGTAGAACTTGTATTTATCGCATATAACCTCTATCTTCGCATAGAAAATTTTTCATACTATTGTATTAAAGGATAAGAAATTTGATATAAACACAAATGCGACGTTTACTTCTCATTACAGTCATCAAAAGTTGAGGATATACTCTGTAGAATTCTGCAAATTTGACATTATTGACAAATTATTTATATACGTTTACTCTCATTCATATGACATACTTGACAGCAAAGTAGAAACATACATATGATAATACTAGAGACATAATACGTGAATCACGTGACGTATGACGCCCCCTGTATCATCAATGAACAAATTTCGTTCAAAAAATACATATGTATGGTCGGGTTTAATATACCGTTGGAAAAGAGACGTGATTGGTAGATCTACAAGTATACCCCAATCACAGATAGTTGTTCGATGATACAAATTGTTGAGTTTTCCGAACACAGGCAGTTGTCTATCGCGCTGTTTCCGATTGATGTAGTAGGCAGAATGCCTTTTAATACGTCAACGGTCATACCACGTTGTAAAGCACCAGTTCTCGTCCGATCACTGAAGTTAAGCAGCGTTGGGCATGGTTAGTACTTAGATGGGTGACCGCTTGGGAACACCATGTACTGTTGACATAATCTTTTTTTTTGGCTCGCATATGAAGAGTCGCCGGTTCAAGTCCTGCTAAAGTCAGAATTTATTTCTGCGATAAATTCCTATTCCTTCCTTTTATCCTTTCCCCTTCATAGGGGATTAGCTAATTAATTTAAAAAAAAAGAAAAAATGTTTCCGATCTAGCGTTCATTTATTCCATGGCATAGTTACGCGCCCTTGCGGCAGCGTCGTGAACTAAATGTAAATGTGGAGTGAATTTCGGCGGGCGCCATATTGATTGATTACAGAAAAAAAAGTTCAGTAACACGTTTTTGGCGGTAAGAAGGCAGTTTCGTAGCGATAAATAGAAATTTTCACGATGGTGGACCAAAACAAGTTGGCGGAAGAATTGACGGATCATGAAGCCGAATTGTACGACAGGCAACTACGTCTGTGGGGTTTAGATTCACAGAAACGGTAAGTTCCATCATGTTCTGACTGATGCTTTTGTTGTGCCGGCGTTTTGAAATTGCGAGTTACAAATATAATACGTATCACACTGCCAAAGATCTTTAAAAGAGGCGAAATATATTTTTTTATTGTCGATTATACGTTTTTTAATAATAAGTAAAATATTTTCGAGCAAGATATGGAGTAAAATATTTTATAATTTGTCTTGAAATTTCAGTTGAAGTTACCATTATTTTATTAAATGATTTTTAATTATATTTTGTTAAAGATTGCGAGCTGCAAAAGTTCTTTTGATAGGACTGGATGGTTTTGGCGCAGAGATCGCTAAAAACATTATTCTGGCAGGAGTCAACACTGTTACATTTTTAGATCATAGGAATGTAACAGAATTAGATAGATGTTCGCAATTCTTTGTGCCGAAGGAAGATATTGGAAAGAATGTAAATATTGAGCAGCAACATATACATCACATTTTACTGTGCACATAATTGTGTATTCAAATAGTTGCGTACTTTTAGAGAGCTGAAGCTTCATTACCAAGAGCACAAAATTTAAATTCTATGGTTAATGTTAATGCGGATTCGGGCAAAGTTGATGATAAACCTGATGAATATTTCGGACAGTTTAATGTGGTATGTGCTACACATTGTACCATCACGCAGCTAAAGAGAATCAACCGAGCTTGCAGAAATCAGAAAGTCAAATTTTTTGCTGGAGATGTATGGGGAACACTTGGATATGTATTTATAGATTTACAGGAACACGAATATGCAGAGTATGTATATTTATATTTGTAAACTTGGTATTTGATATATTAGAGCTTAATCTAAATAATTTCTTAATCTCTTACTGTCTTAATTTAAATGAATCATAAATGAAACATTTTAATTTTTTTATCATTAATTTTTTAGAGATGTCTTAAAACAAAAGAAAATTAAAATACCAGAAGGTGGTGAACCTGAGGGAAAAGAAAAGATTGAAACTATAATAGTTAATGAAAAGCGTACCGAAACATTTGTACCTTTCGAATTTATCCTGAATGTTCCAAAATCATCCTTAGCTCGAGAGGAAGAAATTTATTACATGATGTTAAGTATGTGTTATATATAAAGTGAGAAAGTTTTTATTTAATAAATATTTTAAATAATAATTGGTTCTTTGTTTTTTCTTTTTTAGTATTATTGAATTACCGTGAGAAGTATGGTGAAGATCCACTGCCTAGCGAAAGAGGTTGTAAAAATCTGAAAAACGAAGCTTCTGCAATTATTAAAAAATATGAACTAGAGAATAAAATAGATCACTTAATAGAGTATGTATACAATATAGAATTTGGTGCACATATATTAGTCTCTTGAAAAAATTATATATATTTTTATAACGTATGACACATTTTTTCAAACAGGAGTGATCTATATGCACAACTTAGTCCAGTTTGTTCTATCGTCGGTGGTGTTATGGCTCAGGAAATAATCAAAGCAGCATCGCAGAAACATGCTCCACTTAACAATTTGTTTACATTTAATCCAATTACATCATGTGGAGTTATTTTGAACTTGGGCTATTAATCAAAGGTGGAGTGTATATTTTTTAATACTGTGATATATTGAATATTACATATTTTTTTTACCTTTCCTTCATCCTTTCTATACTTGAAGTAAATATGAGTTAAACAAGAACTTGTCAAAAAACAAAAATAAATTATATAATTATATAATTTTATTTGGAAAATAAAATTTTATATATATATATATATATATATATATATATATATGATGTACAGTTATAAATTTAATATATACATGATATTACATTTATACTGTATATTCATTTTATATGCAATATATCTTGTGTATGAGTATAGAAAAAATGTATTTTTCGCGTGTATGATTCACTATCGAAACTTCTGGTAAAGCAATTTCAAACTCGCTTTGTGGATCTTTTGTTGTGCGCTTTCGAGTGGAAAACGCGTCGTGAAACGTAAAATGGGGATTGAAAAATTGAAAGGGGAGCCGATTAGGATATGCCTCGTTGTACTTTATCGGTTTACCGATATTATTTTCAAGGGAACGCATTCCGTACGTTTAACATTCCATTTTGCAGAAAATTTATCGCAGTATAATTCGACATATAATTTTCGTAATTATATTTAGATATATATAATATGTGCGTGCGTGCGCGCGCGCGCGTGTGTGTGTGTGTGTGTGTGTGCATATATTAAAAATCTTATATGTAATAACAGCGATATAATAATATTGTTTATTTTTTAAAATTAATTTTACCAATATATTTCTCTAATGATTATTTCTTTAATATTCTTCTTTATTTCTCTATATCTGGCAGTGTGTGTAACCACGTGCGCTACTTTACATGCATACACACACGAGCGAATGATTGATTCGATTAACCCGGAATTATGATGTATCGTCTTTTCCCATGTATACGATGTCATTGCACATTGAGTTTTACCGCAGTATGTAAATGCATGGGGTAAATATGTAAACTTCTCTCGTCATAGGTATAAATGACGTGTTTCTTAACGATGCGGCCACGTGCTTTTACGGTTGTCGAATTATCTCGTAGGACGTTTTATTTTGTGCTCGTCGGAAAACCATTAGTCGGCGCGACGTAAACGTTTTTCTAAGTTGACATTTTGTTAGTATATCTCTCTATACGGTAGCCTATATGTATAGAAGGTAATGGTAGTTCGTGACGGATCTCACGTCACGTTTCGACGAGCGCGGCGAATCGCATCGACTGATCGATTCATATAAATTTAATAGCACGATGTCGTTTGAGTTTTCCGCGATCACCACGTCGAATTTATTTCGTTTCAGGTATTTTAGATTCTTTAATTTGTCATTAACGCTGCTCACGCGGATTACTTGAAATGAAATTAATACGGAATGATTAATCACATGTTAGCGATCTTTTAAGAAATATCTAATTCGCGTGATAAAAATATATTATATTTGCATTTATTCATGCAGATTTATTTATTACTTCAACAATAATGCGTGTCTCTCAATCGAAAACATTCATTCGACATCTGTCACACGCGCAAGTGCAAAAAGATATAGGCTTCTCCGTTGAAAAACATGCGATCAAACAGCGCCTTCGCGACTTTATACGATCGCGTGATTATTATCCGGCCCTAAGTGGAGTAAGAGACGTACTGGTACTTCCCGTGACTCATGCAAGGAATTCACTGAGGCTACCGTCGCTATTATATGTACATATTCCGCTGCAAAGAATCGATATGACACGTATACTCTTAGGAATGCTAGTTTCCCATAGCATAATTTACTTTATAGACTTTTAAGTTATCTTTTATACTGTTAATGTATATATCAGAGAGAAAAAGAGAGAAAACGATTATTATTTATATGATAAATTCTATATCATAAATTATATTATTAATTTCAAGGTATTTTTTCCGAATATACCTTTCTCACATTTTGCGCGATCCTGAAAATACCGGAAATATGATTTGATTATATTGATTTTAGTAAACACTCGAGACAAATGTCACATTCCTGAAATTTTTTCTCTGTTGTCAACTCTTTCGCGCACGTGAAAAACGCGCTATTCATTAAAAAAAAGTTTAGTATGACGAAAATTGTTATTGTTAAAATACTTCTCCAGGTGTTTTCATTGATATACACATACGTACGCTCTTCATGACCTCGTCAAAAACATCACGGGTCTTAAGACAAACAAGGCTACTTCAGTCATAGTTAAGTGTCGAAGTATCGCGGAAGTTAACGCGAATCTGTAATATTTAACATTATCGTATTGATCGAAGTTTACGTGCAGTATCATTTTGCGTCGAAAATACGATATTTAAGTCGTGTGTGTGACGCGATATCCGCAATAAAACTCGCAAAATCGCAGAGGAGCGTCGTCGCGGCAAGAATTGCGTACGTGCGCCAACTGCTTACGGCTTCTTTCGCCGATAGCGGTTAGTATTTATACTTTGCTGTAACATATTTTTCGCTTATCAGTGTCTTATTGTCGACGCCGTGTGCCACGGTTTCTTTATTAACCTTGCTTGTACGTGGCACGCCATCGCTTTAAAACAAAAAAAGAGGAAGACTATGCAATCTGATAGCGTTGAAAGGAAATATTTGGAGGCGAAGTCACGTTCGTAAAGAATTCAATTAAAGAATGATTTTTTTCTTGATAAAAAAAATTGCTGTAATATACATCAACTTTAATAATTAAATCTAGACTGTGTCATGAAATATATACATTCTTTTCTAATTACAAAATTCAATTAAATTCAAAATTGAATGTAACTGTCTCCCAGGTAGCAAGATGACGTCTTTAGACGGGCTATTGCATATAACTCGAAATTTTTTGAATTCTTTTCTGATGACTAATTTTTTTCGTAAGTTTTATTGTAAAAAATATAATTTAAAATTTTTTTTTCTTACATTAACGATTATATAATTGTATTATTTCAATAATATCGACAGTCACTTTAGATCTATATGCCATGGTGTGTTTTATGTTACGTGTCGTGTCGCTTAATATCGTTTAAAGCGACTCGATGCTAATATCGATAAAAAAGGTGCATAGGTGAAATTCTGCAGATTGATGGTGGCATTGCAGGACGCGGAGAGAAAGCATAAAAGGATTTCATGGCCCGTTTTCTGACCGAGGGACATAATATTTTTCGTGGCCGGACATTCGAGAGGCACGTGGGTCACTTCCTTCTTTCTCTCTCTCTCTCTTTCTCTCTCTCCTCGTTCGTTGCATTAACAAAATAACGTAATAAAATCTGAGTGCGCTCCACCGTCGTCTTTCTTGCCCTTCTCCCTGCACCCCATCTCACCGTAAACCTATTCCATCACCTCGTGTTTCTTCTTTTTCTAGGTGGATACTCGTAAAATCCGATACATTGTGCGCCGAGAGTTATATTCGTCACGGCTGTGTAATCGTTAACCGTCGACGGCGGTGGACAACACGCGATCGACGAAAGGATCGACATGGATGGATCCCGTTCCCGATGTCTGCGATCACCGACGGTGCGACACGTGACGGTGAGTCGCCTTTTTTTCTTGATTAATTCACGAATGGTCGTACAAAAAGGTACGCGCATTCGTCACTGCTCTATGATTTATGGAATCCATCCTGCGCGAGTTCGTCTTTAATATTTTACCATAGACATTTTCGATTACACGAGGAATTCTCCAATCTACTCAAAATTAAAAAAAAAGTTCTTTAAAACACATTTATGCTTTTGATCGTTTCATTAATTACACTAATTATGTCCGTATATATAAATAGTATAGTCTCACAGCATCGCGCTATGAAGTTCTTCCACGATAATTAGTGTCTTTTCCTTCGAGTTCCGCGTTTTATTCGGGACGAAGGCGAAGGATCGTGACATTAATTTCGCGCAAGCTTTTGCAGCGGCTTTCACGAGTTTCGGATTTCGAGCACGCCTGAGAAGCGCGATCCGCCGCGATATTGCCGAGAGGCTTTACGAGCAGCTATCGGTGCAATTCAGACAGTTTTTAAAGGTTAAACGAATAGCTAATGCAAATACGGCTTCTCGCGCCCGGCATTACATCACATCCCCCTTTCGCAGTCGCCGTTAGTCTGGGCTTCTCGGCGTCGAGGATCTTGCTCCTTCTCCTGCTTCGTCCGTTCGCTCTTTCCTTCGCTTTTACTGCAAGCGTCGCGCGAAATTTTAACGCTCTTAGTTATCAATTAAGACACGGTCGTTGCAATTAATTCCATGGCCGGTCGTCCCGGTGGAAACGGCAGACGGAAACGGCGTCGTCTTACGCGATGGAATCGTCTTTCCCAAAGGATGAATACGTCGCGACGTGTACGTGAATGAGATTGCGCGTGTGGCAGAGCATAACGATCTCCCGGTGACTCTGAATGCACGCTGATTTGTGGAGCTCGGAAATGGATCGTTCATGCAGCTGCAATTAAATGCACGATAAATCAAGTACGCTCAATTCGACAAACTTGCAATTTGACGCTCATTAATATCGATCGCGCGATTGTCCAGTTCCGTGTTTTGCAGGGTCAATATCTGGGGTTAATTAATGTGTAATAAAAAAATCAGATTACGCTTGATTATTGAGTTTGATCCGAAAGATTGTCGCCATTTTTGTTGTAACATGAAGAAAAAAAATGAGGACGCGCCAGATTAAAATCGAATTAATATGCATGCTCGCGCGCGAGTTCGCTTGGAAGAGACGGTGATGGAACGACGGAATCTATCTTCCGTTGACCGGAGAACAAACCTGTAATTTGTCAGAGTAGCGGTCTCTAAGCCCCGGCATTATAATTTGCGCCTATGCAGAGAGCAAACTGGAACCGGCCGAAAACCGACAGGGGGTGAAGAAGGAGAAGGAGGGCGAAGGGATTGAAAGGGAGAGGGGGTCAACAGCCTCGGACACTCTTGGCTCGTACGCGAATCGATCGAGACTGAAACATCAGAGAGCGGCTAAGTATTCATGGCCGACGAGGAGTTTCGGCGACGACCGGTCGGTTGTCGATTGATGAATTCCTCATGAGGGCCATGAATTTAATGGCGAATCAATCGCGAAATTACCGCCGGCGACGAAACTACCGAGTTGCCTTCTGCCGAATTTCTACGCGGACTTCTGCCAAGAAACTTTGAGTATTTGTCGTCGCATTTATTATTGAGTTAACGCGATG